ATATTTTTATATAAAGAAAATTATAGCACATAAATTTTATATAAAATAAAATATAAATTATTAATATTTTATATAATATAAATATACCAATTGATAAATCTATAAAATATTAAAAATAACGTTGCTTTCAAGAGATATGAAGAGGAGAAAAGGACACAAGTTCTTTTATTAATCTGAGGACAATCATTTAATACTCCAATGTAGGAATGGAATTTGAAGAGATTGATTATTTTAGGATTTGGTTCAATTTTTTTATAATGTATAAAATTATAATTTTTTAAATTTTTATTTGGATTTGAATCTAATTTTTATAAAATTTGATTTGATTTAAAATGAATTTATTGATTTTTTTCAGTTTATTAATTTATTAATTTAATTTTTTTTTATTTTTATACATTATTTTAATGTAATTTTTAATACATTTAAATATAAAATAATTATTTTATTTTATAAAAATTTTAAAAAATATATAAATTAATAAAAATAAAAATAAATTGATTTGATTTAATTTTTTTTTATTTTTTATTTTTCGATCCATATAATATATATATATATATTTAATATTCACACTTTATTCGACCGAATAAAACTTAACAAAACATTGTGATTTTAAATAAACCCTAAATCAAAACTAACATAATATTATAATTTTGAATTTTTAAAATTTTTTTCTCCCCTTGCTAGAAATTAGAGTGACAGGTCAATTGGTCCTTATTGCAATGATCAATTAAGTTGTACGAAGCTGTAATTGCAGAGAGCCAAGCGGAAAGTTTCTATGTCGTGGGACTTTGTTTGGCAGTTCAGGTACCCCCAGTCGGCCATTAAATATGATATTGTCCTACTTCTTCACCCAATCAAACCATGCAATTCCTTTTCTCCAAATATTTCCATTTGCTTCCATTTTTTCTAATTTTCTTTGCATAAACTTTTGGCGCTTTATGCGCTATCGAACACTTTTAACACTTTCCCTAAGGACCCCTCCAAACTCCAAACCCTCTGTAAAACAACACATCCTTTTTTTTAAAAAAATTCTAGTCATTAATACTTATTAATAATAGCCATGAACAACTGAAGCCAAAGGACCTGAAACCAGCATGCACCAGCAGCTAGCATTTACTTCCATCTCGTGTTTCTGCCATTAATTACAATTTCATATCATATTCTTCTTCTGCTAGCCATCCTCCCCCCCCCCCCCCTCCCAACCAACAGTCACCAACATACCAAACCTCTTATATATATATATTACACACACGATAAGGGATCAAATAAAAAAATTTTATATATTTTTTATTATTAATTTTAATAAATTTAAAAAATAGAAAAATAAGTAAAAAAATAAAAAAATAGTTTAATTTTATTTTTAGATATATTAAAATTAATATTAAAAAATATGTAAAAATTTTTAATTTTACACTGTAAATGAGTTTTTCTTTATTATATATAAATATATTTATATATATATATATATATATAATTTTTTGATCGTTCAAAGGACAAAGCCTTACGTTGAAAGGGAGGAGGAAGACTGGGTTCGAACCCATGTCTTCTTTAGGACTGTATTCTTTAAGGCATAATCCTTATATGTAAAACTTTTTTTTTTAAATTTTACTGTGCAAGTAAAATTCTCTCTCCTTCTCTCTCTCTCTCTCTCTCTCTATATATATATATATTCTATGGGGCATAATCCTTTGTAGTCGGTGCCAGACAGTGAATAACTAAATCTCCCTAGTTCCACTATTCATCTTAACTGCTCATCTTTCTCTTTCTTTCTCTCTCTTTGCATTTCCTTCTTCTGTATTCTTAAACTGATTAAATGAGCAGCAGAAAACTTCCGGTTCTAGGTCCATGGTTGTTGCTATTGCTCTTCATATTTTTGCTTGGTCAAGCTCATGGTTCATCATCTAGATATTCTCATACGTTCAAGGTGAACCCAAAGTCTCATCAGAATTCACCACGTAGCTTCTTCGGTGCCTTGCCTAAAGCAATGCCAATCCCACCTTCTGGTCCTTCAAAGAAGCACAATGACATGGGGTTACAAAGTTCAAAAAGATTTCCTTGAAGATCAAAAGGAAATTCAACTAACAAATAGATATATAGCAGTATATACTATAGCATGAAGTTCTTTCCTATTTTTCCTTCCAATTTTCATACAAACAAAGGAAGATTGTTGATGATGGCATGGAAATGTAGATGAAGATGGGATTATATATATCGGTGGGTACCCTTTCTTTTTTTTGGGGGGGGATTGTTTTCAAGATATCCATAGTTTCTTGGTTTGTACATCCTCTCCTTGCTCTAAGGAGTAAAGGCTACAACAAGTTTTTCTTTTCCTTTTCCTTTGAGCATCGCATTGAAGCTTTCATGGAATGCAATGAGTAGTTCTTGAATATTGACAAAAAAAAAAAAAGAAAAAACCCCTTTTCTTGTTTGTACAAATTAATGAAATACAAGAAATCAACATGCAAAACAATTAGTAGAAGTTTTGGTTTTGTCCAAGTTGTTCATCATCAATCCTTTGAGGCTATAGCCTTTGTTTTCCAGGTTTGATATTATTTTGTGTTATTAATTAAAAGCGATTTGAAATTGAAAGGAGGTGTAGGTGGACGGAATGGGTGTGGTTGAGCTCATAGAAAAGGAAAGAAAAGCATGCAAAGACGATAAACAGTTTTTGGTAGAGTGACCTTGCATACTCACAAACGTGCAAATGCTCATAAATTATGTAGGCATGACGTGATATCCATTTACTTTTCTATATTTAGTTCTATCTGATTTGATCTCATCAAATGATTTTTCCCACAAAACTTCTCTTGTCCATTTCCTATTCTACACCTACTGCCTACGACATTTTTCTCTCCTTTGTTCTTTGTTTCTTTCCCAAGTTTTTTTATCTTTTGGTTACATCACCCTTGTAAAAGTTTTCTTTTGTTTTGAAAATTAAGTAAAAAGAATAGTTGTTATTGAGCATGGATGATGAAATATTTACACTAAATTACATGTAGTTTTTTTTTCTTCAAAAAAGATAAATAATTATGTAATTTTTTAAGAGGGAGGGGCAGGGGAATAAATAAATAAATAATGCATAGGTAGAATGGAACTATTTGGACTTCAACGTTCCTGCAATTGATGGTAGCTTTTCCCTTGAAAAGTTGCTGTCATGTTCTCAAAATGAAGAACATATATTTATTTATCTTGGATCTCTTGTACTCAAAATTTATTATTCCTTTCCTATTAAATTATTTGGATATTATTATTTTTTAAAAATTTTTTAAAAATTTTAATTTTAATATATTTAATATTAAAATTTTAATTTTTTTTATAAAATAAAAATTTTATGATTTTTAATGTCAAAAGGCAAAAATAAAAGTTTTAAAAGTTCAAAAAATATATAATTTTAGGAGATTTAAAAAAAATAGATAGAAAAAGGGATGGAGGGAGTATAATACATGTAATTAACTTGGAAGATAGAAAAAAAAAATTATGCATACTCATTCAATGACACTTCACACATTAAAAAATATATATCATAAGGTAAAAGGGAGGGAAAAAAAGGAAACGAGTATGCTTTCTTATAGGCTAAATTCTATTTTTTAAAAAATTTTAATACATAATGATTGAAGTGTGAATAAGTTGTAAAAATCTACTATGACATTGTCAATTTTCTAGTACTATATTCAACTTGTTTAAACACATTGTATTAATTAAAAAATGTGAAAAAAATGGCAAGAGTGGAATCAGCATCGAATTGCTCAAAAGGAATTGATTTCATAAACTTGTTGTATTTTTCTAGTAAGGATTTTTTCAACTCATGAAAATAAGATGATAAAATGATTTTTTCTAAAATTTCAAATGAAAGGGCACTGCAATTCAACTGCATGTACCCTAAGCAAGAAGCAAGACGTGGTAACCATGTGAAAGATTAGTATCAAAGGCAGGCAGGAGCCAATGTCAAAGTTGGTTAATGGAGTAAACTTTGGAATTTGATTTGATAGAGGGAAATTTCAATTGGGTTTGGTTAGACAAAAACAACCCCATACTAAAGTTTCTAATCATTTTACAAATTGCCATGGAAATTTTGGCAACATTTTAAAGATGCTACTATTTGATTGTTGGTCACTTGGTTGACTTAAAAACAAGACTCTAAAAAATTTCCGACCAATCAATAAAGCAAAGGATGATGTGCTGACATAATTTATTAATTTCCAAACCATCTTTTCCAAAAATCTTAATCAGAGCAAAAAAAAAAAACAATTCTAATCATAATTGGGATATTCAAATTAATTATCCCCTTGTTTTCAGCTGTTTATCTAACAAAGTCTGATTAATCATGCTCTGACAATTGTGGCGCATAAATTATCTTTGGTTTCTTGATTTTTGTAGGCAAAGAAATTATGGATCATTTTGTTGCATATGCGACTATTGCCAGACGGACAAGGTTTACAAAAATTTCTTCCATTTCAGAATAATTAGAAACCCAACTGCAGGACGGATTGGTTACATCATTCTTGGGATATTTCTTATGATTATGAGTCCTTTAATCATATTTGTTATTGCCATTGCCAGCATTCATATTTGTTATTGCAAATCAGCTTTATTTAATTTAAAAAAAAATGAAACAGTAACATGTACTACTACGTACTTCTAAATGATTCACAAACTGTCAAAATTCTAATCAAGTTAATAGAAATACTAAAGTGTAGGATAATACTACTCACAAAAAATAAGTAGTTATAAGTTGGTTGTCTATTTCCTCCATGCCAATTAACCCTAATGTAATTTAGCATTAACATTTACCTCCTCCTCGTCAGCAAATTCTATGCACCTAACTGTAATGACCGCACTGCTGGCTCATATTCATTAAGTAAAATCCTTTTTCCATCTCATATTGATTCTTGATTTTTCAGTTGTATCCTTTTTTTTTTTTCCCACAAAATCAGAGATGGGTTTTTATTGGGTTTCATTGATGTGTAAGGTCCAAGTCTAGTTGCCTAAACCTACCAAAATATGGGGTAGTTTACCGTTTAAGAATTTTGCACGTTTTAGAATATGAGTTGCCGAGGGGGAAGAGGCAACTTAAGACGGTTGAAAATGGATGAAATTAAACGAAATGAAGGAATCATTGTTTACTTCCAATGATTTTGGGTGTGCAACAACCGGCTTGTATTTGTCCAAATCATTTCACCCTAAATAGTTTTTCAACTCGACATCTCATGAGTCCAATTTACAGGGGGGAACTCAATATTTGCAGGTCACCAGAATGAATTTTTATAACAGCAGAGTTGAGCCTTTTTTGTTAGTCCAAGCCAACCAAAATAGAATAGTTTTAAAAGAAGAAAAGACAAGCTGACATAAAGAGAGGCAGACAAAAAACAAAGGAGAAGTTATGGGGAACTGGGGATGGAGAAAGCAAGGAACAAAAACTTGTTGCTTTTTATATACACTACAATACAACAGATATGTAAAGGGTAAATACCCGGAAATTAAATGGAAGAAAATAACTAATCGAGGGGGAACAAAATAAAATTAAAAAAAAAAAAAAAGATGGGGAGTCAAAATGAAATTTGTAAAGAGCGAAAAAAGAGAAAAGGGGGTTCCTGCTTCATTTCTCGCTCCTTTGCTTAATCACTGCACAAAATGGATGGGAGGCTAATTTCCCTTCCTCCTTTTGTTACACTCGCGAAGCGGGTGAGAGAGCTCCATCCGATCTCGGTGCAGTTTGCCCAGAAATCGATGCTTTGTCTGATCCACGAACATTGTACCTCTCATACACCTTTTCACGGTTTTCTGACCACCAAGTTTCCGCTTGGTGCTCTCCAAATCTTCTCCGGCTGCATATAAGGACATTTCTTAACATCCCAGATCCATTAAGATCAATTACTTTATGCAAATTGAGCAATCACCAGCGACATGGATGCAAGAATAGATGGGTGCATTTGATTCTTGCTGTTTTTCCTTTAAAGGTTTCCCCAAATAATGCTACTAGAAGTTATAAAATGACTAAGATACTCAGGTGAAAAAACTACAACCAAACCTACACTGTTTTCTAACGTCAAATAAAAAAATCATTAGTTTTCTTGTTCTTTTTTTTCCCTTTTACGTTGTTATTGTTGTATTTAGGTGAAGCATAAATGGTGTGATATAGAAGAACATAGAAAATGCACCTGAATCGCACTCGTTTGAGATCTCTAGTTCCATCCCGCAGTGCTACAAGAGTTATGTAGACTCCAGGTTCATACTGTTCAATCCACTCAGCCTCCACTTCATTGCCATTAGCAACCAATGCAGAATTTCTAGATTTCATACCATTTTCACCATCTCCATAAGACCCAGATTCCCTTTCATCTATAGCCTCTGACACACTACTGCTACCTGCCTGAAAACCTCCACTACCATTCGGCAGTTTAGTATCTGAATGGTCATCGCTACCATTGGCTCCAGTCGGTACCCAATGTAATTCGGCAGGGCTCTGAGTGCCATTGATTGTAGTAGAGTCGATTGCATGGGGAGAAGCAAGGAAAGAGCCACCAATTGAATCAGATCTCAGATGTCCCTCTCCATTTGCATCTGGACAGCGAACACCATTTGGCTCCAAGCCATTTGGCAGGTATGCTAATCTAATGTTCTCAGTGTTATAAACTCCAGGTGGCAACCTCTCAGCCATATCCTTGAACTGAGAAGTAGCATAAAATAATTCTTTTGAGCATTATGAGAAACAAATTGACAAGGCAAAAAAAAAAAAAAGCTAGGATTGCAAAGTGACCAAATCTCACGATTCAGAATGCAAAAGATTTTATAATCAATAAAACAAAAAGTATATTTAACATATAAGATAATGAAAGGAATCATTCAATCATCTTCAATAATTATAAAGCATTATGCAAATAATGCGAAGTTGTATATATTGCTTTGCAAGTTTATATAAACAGATTTCCAAAGAAGAGCATTCAAAGAAACAATACAGAGAAGGATATAAAGCCGAAGGTAACCTGTGCTGTCAATGACTTTATAACTTCTTTTGCAGCTTTAGATTTGGCAGACTCCTCAGCAGCCACTGCCAAAGCTTCCTCAGCTTTCTTTGTTGATTTTTGAAGCTCCAATTCTTGGAGTTCACATCTTTTTCTCAGGGTTTCAACCTAGAAAGTATTCATAATCATCACAATTACATTGATTCAGTCAACACAAGGCCCATCCCATTCACAAATGTCAGAATAGAGTCAAATAAAATACAATTCTTACCTGTGCACGCAACTTAAGCACTTCTTGGTTCAAAAGTTCATTTGTCTTTTTCAAACTATCTGTGATACTTTTGGAGAAAGTAAGTCCTGATGTTGTTGGAACTGGTGTAGCAGAACGTGGAGGGCTAGGTCTCCTTGAGAAAGGTGAAACAGATCTGGAGCTTACACCAGATGGAGTAAGAATTGGTTTAGGAACTGTCCATCGCAAATCTACAGCAGTAGACAAAACATCTTTCAACTGTAATAAAGAAGGTGCTTGTGTAGAGCGAACCAAGGAGAAGGTTTCGGCTTTTTTTCCTTGTTTAGCTGCTTTGCTATCTAACTGCTTAATCAAGTCCATATTAGAAGGAGTTGCAGATTTGGATAATCTTATTTCAGCCTTATCCAATCTGTCCTTGTTCTCACCTGAAAGGCGAGGTACAGAATTCCTCCTGTTATTACCAGCTTCTGAAACCTTGTTCAGTTTGGCAAAACAAGAATCACAGACACGATAAGGTTTCCCAGGATTAGGGGCCCAAGCTGCTCTTAGTGCTTTCCTTGAACTGCAAGAATGGCAGTGCACGAGTCCACAGTTATAGCAGTTATGCCTCTTTCTGGTGAATCCAAAAGCCTGTCTACAAGCCGAGCATTGAGACTGCTCAGCACCAGATACCCATTTATGGAGACATATTGCAGCACCATAATTTGAACCACAAGCAATATATTTCACATGTCTATCCTTCAAACCCTCAACCAGAGTAGGAGTTTTTCGATCTTCAACATCTCCATGGCCCAACCTACCATTTGCTCCTTTTCCCCATGTATAGACTTCATATCTGGATGTTAAAACTGCTACATGATATGCACCACAGGCAATTTCTTCATCACATTCCCCTGAAAGCTTGTCTTCTACCAAACACGGTATCTTTCCATCAGCATAAGGATTCCCAAGTTGACCATACACCGTACTTCCCATCGTAAAAACATGCCCTGATGTTGTCAAACCAACTGTTAAACTATGCCCACAAGCAACTTTGTGAAAATTGTACTCAATTAGTGCTGGAACACATGTGGGCTTAAGCCGGGGCTCCTTGTCTCCATGTCCAAGTCGATTTTTGTCCCCATCCCCCCATGTGAATAATTTTCCTGATGAAACACTAGCACTAGACTGAGTGACAATAATCTCCACAATGGCAGCAGTATGCCACACTCCACATGCCACAGCAATTGTTCTCAATCCTGATAGAGACTCCACTTCTCTTGGATATGGAATATTTTCTTTGTCACCGTGGCCCAAGACACCAAATGTACCATCCCCGAAAGTAAACAGCTGTCCAGTCGATGTTATCAAGGCTGTATGCCATGGACCACAACTTACTGAAGCAACTTGAAGTCCCTCAAGAGGACCTGAAATTCTCTTCGGTATCCAATGGCTGACATCAGTACCATGACCAAGAAGCCCAGCATTGTGAGTTCCATCTCCCCATGTATAAAGCTCCCCAGCCATTGTAACAGCACAAGTATGAAATTCTCCACATGCAACAAAATCAACACTAGTAACAGCCAGTGATTCAACAAGACAAGGTTGAATAACATCCTTCCCAACACCATGGCCAAGTCGTCCTCCAGATTCTTCACCCCATGTAAAAATTTCACCTTGCCTTGTAACTAGGGCAGCGTGCTTGACCCCACAGGCTACATTATGTACATCTAAAACTACATTAGACTCTAAAGGCCTGGGAAGAAGCACATCAGATCTCATGCTCAAATAATTGGCATTTTTATCAGTTACAACCTTCACAACACTATCACAAATGACCTCACCCCATATATACACATCCCCTAAAGCATCGTAATCATCCGGTGCAGAACCATGACTTGAAGTACTAGGGGCACTAGAAACACTTACGCGAAAAACATCTGAACCAGATCCTTTCACTTGCATGTTTGTATCGTCTGATGCTACATGTGACCTTTCAGAATGAAAGGAATTCTCAGGCCGTAAACTCTTTGGAGAAGTGTTTGGGTTAAAAGTTACAGAAACCCCAGGGGAGCTAATATCTTGAGCAGCGCTAACAGAACTGTCACTTGCACTATTTGATGTCAGGTCTCTGCCATCCTGAAATCAATCAGTGATGAACACTTACGTCAAACACAATTTGTAACTGTTGCTACAACACTAATAAAATCAACAAAATACCAGAAAGCATGAACTTTTATGCCTAAATGGAAGAATTTTTGTAGCTAAAGGAATAAGGCAATGAAGCCTTAAATGCCAACGAAGTTAACTAATGCACTTATATTTGTCAAACAGCCATGTAATTGTATATACATACAGAATTTATTCTTATATAGCAAGAGCTTCAAAGATAGTTTTGGATTTGATTAATGAATCATGAATAATTCTTGGGCAACATATTTTCAAATTTCGAAAATGTACAAACTGGAATCATTATGTATAGCACTTCAGAAAGAGGAAAACCACAAAACAATTAGTGAAAAGGAACCAAAGAGAGATGGTATTACATCAAGGTAGAGGCCTCCATCACTCCAGCCATCAATTTTGGAGCGTCCACACTGACCAGAGGATATTAATGCTTTGAGGCCAGCAATCCACACCTCTGCCTCAACTTTGTCCTTGCAAATCTACAAGTCAATAATACATTCAATTAAAAACAGATGCAAGTAAGAGGATAAAAATATCAATAATAGTTTATCATTTATCTAAAAACAAAATACCAAAGTTCCATTACTAACCAGATCAAGTGACCTTTTCCTGTTGTTGTATATAAGAGAAAAGGATAAATAATCCTTCTCAGGACGGAGATACCGCTGGAAAACAGCCTGATAGAACAATAAAGAGGAAAAATTAGCATAATTTAGAAAAAAAAAAATGAAAGCATAGCAGGAAGAAGACTAGATGTTGTGAAAAATAGTAAAAATAGATTATAATATATTATGTATGTATGTAACAATAGAACCATAAAGATCTCACAGTTCTTTGTCCAGGAATAATTTTAGAGACTGAGGCTAACTTCAAACTTCTTTCACTGCTGCTTGAAATCCAGATTAAAGATTTTTCATCCTGCGATTTTAACAAATGAAAACAGTTAGTAAGTGCAAAAATTAAACAAACATAGAATTGTTAGTTGGATAAAACATAAAAATGGGGAAAAGCCAAGCAACAAGTAAAACAGCATAACTTGTTAATTCAAAACAGAGTCCTAAAATTATAGTCAAGTTAGGAACAGCATGTAGACAAAAGATAGCCAATCACTGTGTACTTGTTTCTATTTCTAGAGTGGAATGCCTATCAAGTGGACAAGACTAGTATCAAACCAAGATAAAGCAAGTAAGACCATGTAATCATAAGTGACTTTAGTAGATCTCAGTGTCAATATAATTACTACTTCCACATAATGAGAGAAAATGAACTTTAATACATTGTTTTCGAATAAGTCACTCAGTATTTGAGCACATTTCAACTTAACACTGTCTAACAAAGCAATAAAGTGTAATATTCACACATCAGAGGAACATAACAGAAAGGCTTCAAAAGTTAGAACCAAACTTACATTAGAAAGTCTAAATGGACAAAACTTAGGCTTTCCCTTGCGACCATATTTAAGAAGCTGAGCACCCTTCTTCAAAGCTATTAATGCCTATATAAGGTGAAAAGGATTATTTGCAAAAGGAAAACAATATATCAACATAACCATCAAGAAAGAAAACAATAATACTGATAATATGACTAAGTTACAATAACCAAACTTCAAATTGTCACTTAAATTGCGAATTGATACTAATTTTGTAGCATCACGCAGCAAATTTAAGCATCCTCACTCAGTTCCTGACTAATAGACATATATATGTTCAATCTTCATAAACATCACCTAATGTTTAGGTCTAATATATTAGTCAATGTATTATTTGCACAATGCCAAGCGCATGGCATGGCCTTGACAATTGAAAAACTTATTGGACCATATGTCTTAAAGTCACAGTTAATTCGCCGCAGAACAAAGCACGCAACTTCCAAGTTCATAAACCAAAGTTGACAACCTTTTTTCCTCTAAAATTTCTAACGATCAGTAAATAGCATAAATTCCAAATTTATCGAACAAAACTCTTAAGATTATCCTAATTAGGCACAAAAGACATCTTTTCTCCAAGCTTTGTAAAGTCTACTAACATCTAGAACAAAGAAAACAAATAATCATCTTTCATTTAATAAAGTAACAAAAAAATCCAAAATTTCCACAACATTATCCCTCATTTCTTCCCCTCTGATCAGGAAAACCGGTTGACAAAATTGAAAGTAAAAAGAAATAACAAAGAAATTGAGAAGAAATAACCATAAATAAAAATCTTAAATTTCATACTATAAACTAAGAAAAAACAGGAGTGATGAAGAAATATAGATATAGAAAGAGGAAGAGGAGGACCTGGTCGATGTCACGTTGGGCATTGCCGTAGCTAACAAGATCAGCCATTCCATGTGAGCCAATTACAAAAATGCCACCTCCCTCTACGATCGCTCTCTTGAGCTCCGTTCATCATCTGCCACTACCACCTCCTCCTTTCTCTTCTCTGCTCTCCTCTTTCCTTCCTACGCTTACCATCCAAATACCTTTAGCTCTCCATTTCCAAAATAAAAAAAAAAATTTCAGCCAAAACTTTAGCAGATCTACGGACTCCCCACCTTAACAACACCAAATCCCTTGCATTCACCTCTTCAAACCACCACAACTAAGTCAGACCTCAAGTTTGACTGACGGTGAGACACTCAAAAAGGCGGCGCTGCGGCAGTGACCGGAAAGAAGTACAGGCGGAGAAGACTGAGTTACTCGAGGAACCGGTGGGGAAGAGAAAGAGAGAAAGAAACAGAGCGACAAGCGGGTAGCGGCCTAGAGTTTTGTGTGCTGTTTTGTTTAAAAAAAAAAAAGTTAGATCAGCGAAGAGTCAAAGATGGGAAAAGCAAGCAGGAAATCGTCTGAGAGATTGAAAAGATATGAGAAGACATTTCCAATGCACTTTTTCTATAATTTTTTTTTACTTTTAATTAATCCAGTAGTAATAATTAATTATGTATTAAATTCGTTTTTATTGGGTCAACAATTCAATATGAATTTTGAATAGAATAAATGTTTTTTTTAAATTGAGCTTCAAGAGAGGAGGTCGAATCGGATAAGCTTAAAAAAAAATTAAGGTAGAGTTGAATTTAGATTTTAAATAAATTTAATTTAATTTGATTTAATTTTATATAAAAATATTAATTATATATTATATATTTATATATTTAAATATTTATATTTTAAAAAATAATATTTTATATTTATAAAATTTTTTTTATTAATTTTAAATTAAATCAGATCGATTATAATTTTTATAATATCAAATCAAATTAAATTTAAAAAAATAATAAAAAAATAATTTTATATCAAATTAAATTTAAATCTAATAAATATAAAATCGAATTGAATTAAGAGTGAGCAATAACTCGTTTCGACTCTATTTATGATCAATCCTCGTTTTTGCTTTAAAAAATCGAATAGTTTAATAGGAGTCATAGCTGCTGCTGTTTTTTATTTTCATTTTATTTAATCCATTTTTTAAGAGTTATGGGTTGTTTGGCAGAACCAAAAAAGGAAATTTGTTTTGTGGCTTGAGCTTTAAGTTTGAACTCTAGACTGTAGAGGCTTTAACCCTTAAATTAAGGTATTTAAAATTTAATTTTAATTAAATTAATAGATTGAATTAAATTAAAATCAATTGAATCAATTTAATGTGATTAATCAATTAATTATTAAATTAATTTTGATCTATTATTAAAAAATTTAATTTTTAATTAATTCAATTCAAAAATCAAATAAACAAAAATTTTAATTGATATATAATAAAATTAAAATATAAAATTAAAATTAAAAATATATGAAATAAATTATTTTATTTTAAAAATTATTAGAGTTTTTAATTTAATATTTTTAATATTTAAAATTTTGTGAGATGATTTTATTTAATTTATTTTAAATAAGAGAAGTTAAGAGTTTAAAATATAATTAACTTACATGTATCATTATTCAATTAATAAAAAAATTAATCGAATTAATTAAATTTAATTCAATCAATTGCTTTTTAAACTAACATATTCAAATAAAATAACAAATTTTAATTAATTTAATTTTAAATAATTTAATTTAAAATTAACAAAATTGTCTGAATAGACACCTTTTTTTTAAATGTTTTACAAGCTTGCAGCCTTTGTAGACTTTCTTTAATAATAATTATTATTATTATATAAAAAGTATTTTTTTAATTTTTCAAATGCTCTTAACCGTAGAAATAAAAAAAATTTTAATTAATAATTTATTTTTATAACCTGCCAATTATAAGTGGAAATTATTTTTAAGTGATATGGCAAATAATACCTTAAAGTATATATAAAATTATTGATAAGATAAGATAATAACTATTTTATGTTATATTTGATTTTTATTCAAAAAAAAAATAAGAATTATAATGAGATTAATTTTTTTTAGTATAAAATTATCCAATTATTATCAAGTGAATAAATTATTTTAATTCATAAAATTAAGTTTATATGTCTAATTATATATTTAAAAATTATATTAATAATTTAAAATTTATAAATTAAAAAAATAAATTTGATAAATAAATAAATTATTTTATCATAATTTTTATATATATTAAATGTAAAATAAAATAAAATAAAATAATTTTATTTTATTATAATCGGAATAAAATTGGAGTCGGAGGTACATTTTCAACTTCCCGTCTAAATTGTGAACACAGATACGACAAAGGCGGGAGAAGGAAGGGAGGCACGTAGCGGGGTGTTTCTGTAAATTTAAGGTTTTGACATCCAAATGACGCAAAAGCCCTTACGTTTTTTAATACGTGGCATGAAGTGAGTGGAAGAGATATAAATGAAAGTTTAAGACGGAGCAGATTTGGTGGGATTATGGGGACAGCGTTTGGGGGCGAGTGGGTCCGGGAGGTGAGACTTGGTGGCGTTGGGAAAAAGGGGGGTGTGTCCGAAAATGGAGTGAACGGAGGAGAACGTGGTGCCAACGTTAAACCAACTCACCTGGGTGAGTCTCCGTTCGGATAGTTTAAAAAAAAAAAAGGAAAAACGTCCTCCTTTCCTTGCAATTACTAGCTTCAGGTTTTCTGCTAATTATTCTCCACCAGATTTGTGGTATCCATTGCGTGGGTGGAAGAGAAACAAAAGTTATATTAATTTTGTTTCTTTAATAGTTTTTTATACCAATTTTCTTAAGTAAAACTAAAAAGTTTGAGACTCAATTTTTTATTCTTGAAAACAAATCATATCACAAAAAGATGATCTTACTCTATCATTGAGTTAAATGATTATCACGTAACTTATTAAAATTTAAAATAATAAATAAAAGCATACGTGATAATATTTTAATTTTATTTATAAAGTTTAAAAATTTTATTGATAATGTATAAAAAATAGTTCAAAATGAAAACTTTTATATATTTTTGATATCTTTAATAAGTTTTATGTAATTTTAATATCAATTAATTTGTAACGTTAAACTCAGTTACTCTTGTTATAAATAATCACATCAAACTCAATCAGTTTTGGTCTATTTAATATAGCATAAATATGTATTAATATTTTTATATTGATTTTAATTATTCATTTAATCAACTTTATTAATTAATAAAAAAATTAATTATACTTTTTTATGCATAGCAGCGGTTAAAATCACGTAAATAATACAAGATTTAAGACTTGCAATATGCAACAATCATCTTGCATAAGTCTAAACAAAGCATCATGAGAATAATGCAAATTCATCTATTTAGAACTACTACTGTAGGCCATACTCGCAAAAAAAAAAGATCCGCACTTTCTTTACATACGTAGACAACTTGACAGACAATGCTAATCTTAATAAAAAAAAAAAACTATTGGCAAAAAAGTTAATTATATAATATATCATAAACTTCATTCCGTATAAATAAAACGAAATAAATGCATAGTTTAGTGGAGTATTTGCTAATGATCGAAAAGGATAATAATAAATTTACTATAAGTTTAATTTTCAAAATTTTCCTTTGAACAGAAATAACTATTAGGCTAAAAACGTCACGTTATTGAACATTTTCAAGTATACATCAGTAACTCATGGCATATGATAATAGAATGATAAACACATCTACCATTGAAACGGAAAGATTTAATTCTTTGGAGTGGAAATTAATAATTTGATAAGAGAAGATACATGAGAATTAAATTGAGTCGTGAATCTCAAGATTCAAGGGCACAAGAATGACTACAAAAAGCATCGTCACCACCATAAAAAATTTTGAATATATATAATAACTTATGTCTATCAATGTGATAAATATATATTTTCATTTATTGCTTGATAACTGCATCATACAACTATTATTTTAAAAAAAAATTGATGTTGAATCAAGATTGGGTGGTAATTTTCATATTTCATAAATTCTGGTTCCTCTTATCATTACTTGAATTATAGTTGATTTAAGTTTAATTTCATTAATAAATTTTAAAGTTATAACTAAGTCTCCATTTGAATTCCACCCGTAATTTTTGTACAATGCGATTAAGTTTACCATACTTCGAGTTGAATTTAAATATCAACTCCAATAAAGTGAAGTCAGCATGGATTTTTCATTAATTTTTTTCGATCGTAGCTAAATTTTTTTTTTTAATCCCAGTTACAATAATTTTTATTATTATTTTCAATCTCACTGTAATTAATCTTATTGTCCATTCAAATGAAGCCTAAGAATATCAAATCAGTTTCTTGATACTATACGCATGCTACAAAATAGTATTTCAAAATTTGGAAGGTAAAAGTTAGTTTCTGGCAAATCCCTTCAATTAAACAAGCAAACACATATTATTAATTGGTTCATGCAAGTTGTCATGTCATTAAGAATAATCATATATAATTTTATGTATAAACACCTATCAAATAGAAAGCATTTAACCGATAATAAAGAATTATATAGCTTTTTCAAATGAATTGAAGTTATCTTAGATAATATATTTACATAATCAAGACAATCCACATATGCTATACCATAAAATCTTAAATCATAAATTAATTAATTTAATTCAGAATCAAAATATTAAAATAATAGTAAATAAAGAAGTAAAATTCAATGAGACTTAAGATCTCCAATGAATTATTAATTATCAATTCTTTTAATAAAATATAAAAACTACAAAGATAGTAATAAAAAATTTATCATGTATTTAGTATTTATTTCACTAAGAAATCATTTGGACAATTGAAGCTTTCTATTCATGTTTCAAAAGTCAATTTTGTCTTTTTTTTTTTTTTGGTATTTTTCTCCTACAAAATATGAAGGCATAATTACTTTTAAATTGTAAGAAAAATCAATAAGGCAATAGAAATGATACAAAAAAAATGTTGGTTTTGAAACATGAAGAACACTTTTTATCTAATGTGAGATGCATAACATTTTGAATTACCAATAAATATTCTTCAAATTTAGAGTTTAAATCTTAATATCTACAATCCTTACCCTATCTTAGGTTACCACTTATTTTGTATAAAAAAAATTTTATTACATTTAATGAAGAACACTTTTTATCTAATGTGAGATGCATAACATTTTGAGTTACCAATAAATATTCTGCAAGTTTAGAGTTTAAATCTTAATATCTACAATCCTTACCCTATCTTAGGTTACCACTTATTTTGTATCAAAAAAATTTTATTACATTTTCCTATATAAATAATCCTTACTAGAATTTGACCATCACTATGTTAGGGCTAATCATTTTCATCAATTTTTTATTTTTAATATATTTATTATTATTTTAATTTTAATACTCATGAAATATTATAAAAATATTAAAAGTTTAAAATTTTTTAATATAATATTTAATATATTGTGATTATTCTTTTCGTTATTGACTTTTCATGCTATGGTAAGAGTATTCTAATTTTTTAAAATTAGTTAATCAATTGTAT